CTACAGATCATCACAGGCGTAGACTAATAAATATATATATACACATTATTTAATACCAGTGCATGTATACCTTACACTGATAATTTTATGTCAGGAAAGAAAAAAAGAAAAATTAGACTGTCTTTCTCAGGATAAGTCCAGCTGCAGTCAGGACCGGGTTTATACGTAAGCTAAAAAGGCTATGGCTGAGGGCCTGGCGTTTCGAGGAGTCTAAGAATTCTATAACCTTTCAGAACTGATTATATATTGCATTCACGTGAGTCATTCCTCCATGTATTATTTTTATGTCTCTTTCTAAACACGTCGCTTTCGTGGTTAGAACATACTATCCGGAATGCAGATTATCTAGGTAATTCTACATTATTTTTCCTATATAGATTTGTTTCAGAAACTAGTCCATATAGCAAGCGAGTGGGAACTGTGTGACTGTTTGATGAGTGAACGATATTAACGCTTTCAAGTTTTACAAGACCTTTATTTGCACCCTTCCCAAGAGCCCCCAAGCTCCATATGGCTTAGGGCCTCGCCGTCTAAATCCGGCCCTGACTGCAGTTAATGCGAAATAAAAAAGCAAAAAGACAAAAACATACAATAAAGATATAGAATACAGAAGAATATGAATACAGAGAAACGAACAGACAAAAGAGTAAATGCGAAAACAACATAATAAAACCACATTATTCTAAAATAACATATTCGTATATATTATTTCTCTCACGCTTACACAAAACCCAGTCATATCAAATTTACACCGTTTTCCTTAATGTTAATTTATTGTGCTCGGGTTCTCTCTACACGATTTTAAAATTTGTTCTACACAGGTCTATTTTGATGTACAAATACACACTCTTGCTACAAACGTGTGTGTCCTACTACTGAAAGATTCTAAGGCCTAACATTTCATTCTTTATCAAAAATGTTCAAAATGGTCAGTGAAATTTTCAATATCATTTAAGGGTGATATTGTGACTTTTAAGAATTTGTCTGCTTTTTAATGTTTTCATTTTTTCTCGTCTTTTCCTGCTTTTGCAAATTGTATCACATTCCCATTCTCACTTTCATGAAATTATTTTATTGAATTTCTTCCCGTTTTTGTAAGATGCTCGTTCGGCACAGATTTCATCATTAATGTGACTACTAATACATCACTATATGCATGTGTGTATGTATCAATGTATACATATATATATACACATATGTATGTATATATTTACATATATACACACATGGAAGTCCTCGCTACTGAACACATACAAAAATTGTCGTGAGTTTGTCATGACTTCCCAAGCCAAGAGGTCATGTCATTGATGCCACGAAGACCAAAGGCGAACATGTCTCTAGAACATCATGTCACTAATTAACTTACTGAGCAACGCCCCGACACTACTTTTCTCTATGTACGCATTTTCCCCATCCTAAATTGAGTCACTTTGGAGAGAACTAATTTACAAGGAATTAGAAAAAAATGTGCAGGCATGTTTATCTAAATGCAATAACTATTGTCCTAATATCTTGAATTAGTATGAATGACTATCCTATTCATTATCAATCTTTTATCATTTTTTTCTTTTAGCGCCGTACATTGTACCGCATATCAAATCAACCAATTTACATAAAGGAAAGGCATACAAAAAATAATTTAGATGACACAACAAAATACACCTTTCTTCACTATTATGTTCTCGAACTGCATATTCACATCCCCCTTATCCCGAATTCCCCAATCGCCAAATCCCCCTAATCCCCAATTCCCCAATCGCCAAATCCCCCTAATCCCAAAATCCCCGTCATCCCCTCATCCTCCTATTTCCCAATCATCACATTTCCCTCCAAGCGTGCTGCCCCGTCGATCATCATCTGGGCGTCCTCTTCTGCGCAGTCCCGACGTTCGTGTAGTTCAGGTTCTTCAGCACGAGCTTGACGTCCCCCCCGGCCAGGACCTCCCTGACGGCGCGGTCGACCATGCCCTTGCAGTGGTCCACCAGCGCCCTCATCTTGGGCGTGTAGGGGTCGAAGCTCAGGGGCCTCTTCCGCCGCTTGTAGATGCCGTCCTGGTGCCGCATCATGCAGTCGAAGTTGCTCTCGGACACCTCCAGGTCCAGGAACTCCAGGATCCGCCTCATCTCCTCGGGGAGGTTGTCCAGGAGGTCCTCGTAGAACACCAGGTGGAGCGGGCCGTCGAACTTGAGCCAGTCCAGCGTCGTGTTCATCCACGAGATGGCTTTGTTGGTCACGAATTTGCTCCAGTCTGAGGGGGGAAAGGCAGGCCCGGGTTAACGCTGGAAGTCTTGGGAGGAGGAGGAAAGGCTTGGGGCAAATCTGAAGGGCCAGGGATAAATCTGACAGGCTTAGATTACGCCCGGAAGGCTGGGGATATATCTGAAAGGCATAAGTTACAGCTGGATGGCTGGGATTAGAGCAGAGCCTTACGGTTTACATCCGAATAGGCTTTCGAATATATGCTTAACTCTTCTTTCCCAATCTGAATCAGAGCAATGATCTAAATTTCATTATCAATATCATTATCATCTTTAATATTCCTACTTATCATCAGTATCATCTTCATTTCCATTACTAATTATCATCATTATTATTACTATCCATCATCTTTATCATTACTAATCATCACTATCATTTGTATTACTAATTACCATCTTCATTATCCTCATAATCATTATTGACATTATTCCTGCCTCCGCGAAAAAGTAAAATAAAATCCAAGAAATTATTCACTCGAAGTAAAGTTTAGCTGATAACGAGATTTCGTTTCTCCGCCGCGATAAAACCCGTCTGTTGCGAAATCCTGGTGTCCGACGAAAGCAAATTTTTATCCAGTTTGTGGAAAGAAGTTTGACTGAAACGAAGGAAAAGAAAGAAGTTCAATTTGATTTAATTTCGGGAGAAGTTACTGAAGCTACTGTGACATTCACGCTTAAAGATTTGATCTTACGAATCTGGAGAAAAGAGTATCTTTTTNAGTAGAGAAGGAGGAGAAAGAGAAGATAGTGGACAGAGAGAGAGAGTAGGAAGCAGGAAGAGAGATGAGAGGAGAGCGATAGAGGGATAGGAGAGGTCTGAGACAGAAGAGATGGGAAGAGATGAAGAGAGTAGGAATTATGGGTGAGAGTATGGGAGTAGACTGAGGAGACGGAGAGGAGCGATGACAAGAGAGATAGACGACGCTACGATCGCTGAGAGGAAGGATGGAGAAGGACGGAAGACGGAGGAGGAGAGAAGGAGAAGGGTTAGAGCAGAAGAGGAGATGAGAAGGAGAAGGAGAGAAGAGATGAGAGAATGAGAAGAGAGAAGTGCATATGGGAGGAGAAGGATAAGGTAGAAGGAGAAGGAGAAGAGAGAGGACAAGACGAGAGAAGAGAGAGAGAGATTGAGAAGAGAGAGAGAGAGGAGAGAGGAGACGAGAGAGAGAGAGAGAGAGAGAGAGAGAGAGAGAGAGAGAGAGAATGATGATTGAGAGAGAGATAGAATGGGTTTAATATATAACTATGAAGATCGAGTAAGTCAAGTAAATAATATAATTAATACGCCAAATAGATTGAAAGAAAAAATAGTTAGTAATGACAAAGCCGTATGTTTTTTTTTCTTTTTTATTTTGTGTAAAGAAAATTGCATTATGTTTCGAAATAAGTGATAGTAGCAATATCGTAATAAACAGGAAAACTGGATAAGAGTGATAAAGATGATAATAAAAGATAGATAATTATAGAAAAATAAAAACAGCATCACTAAACGGTAATGAAAATGACGATGACACTAATAATCAAATATAGAAAAATTGATGCAGAAATTTAATATCATCACACTGAAAATATTTCTAAAGTTGATAAAAAAAACAAAAAAACTCGTCACCTATATTTACACAAACTTGAATTCCAACTTTAATACGAAAAGGAAAATGATCCGAATTTGTAAAGGAGAAAATTTGATGGGAAAAGTTTTCATAAGAATTAAGGAACACACACAAGGGTTGCCAACTGTTCCAAAACTCTTGTCATTTCTCTGTTTATTTCTTCAGTGAGTGCTTGCAGAATCGAGCAAATTAAAACATTTTGTCAGATTAGTTTGTGTCTGAGATTAATTAAGTTGATGAATTGTAACTGATGTGTTGCTACATGAGATGGATATTGCATCTGTCAAGGAACAAACTATCTTAATGAATTTTTCAAGTTTGATATCAAAAGAAATTAAGACATAGCATTGCTGTGAATCTAATATATATAATATTAATATATATATATATATATATTTTTTATATATATATATTTTGTTATTATGTTAGTATATTTATATAATATATATGTATAATATACTTATTATATTATTATATATTTATTTATTTATTTATTTATTTATTTATATAATTTTTTAAATTTTTTTTTTCTTTTGGATATCTATGAATTTTTGCCATTACCGTTTGTATCGTCAAGTCCACTACATTGACCACAAAATTTACGACACAGATAAAAAACCTCCAGGCAGACCCGATTACCTCCAACTCTCTTAAAACCCCACACAGCAAAAACACACACTGCAATTCCAACCCTCCTGTTTCTCTTCCCCCCCACCCAACATCCAAACATATACTCCCAAGGCGTAACCCCCTATACAACACCCAGCATATCCTACCCAACACCCAAACATACTCCCACAGCACACCAATTTATTCACTCCACCAAACCTAACATTACCCCCCCCCCACAACCCAAACATACTCCCCACATCTCAACATAATCCTCCCAACACACCCAACCATTACTCCCCCCTCACACCGCCAACAGTACCCCCCACCCACAGGTCCCAACAGTTTACACCCTCAGCCCGCATCTCCACATCTCCCAACACACCCCCTCCTTACATGTCCATGGTCCTCGTGTATTTGGATCCGGTCTCTGCGCGTGTCCGCATTGTGGCCTCCGCTTTGCGGGTTGTGAATTTCCGCGTCGGATGTGCCAGAGTACTGGGTCCCCGGAGATGATGAGCACCGGCGCTAAGGGGGGGTGAAAACGCCCCTTTCGCATCTGGGGATAGGCCGAGGGATCGGGATTGAGAGAGGAGAGAGAGGGAGAGAGGGAATGATAGAGCATAGGAGAGAAAGAGAATGAGGGACGGAATATGCGAATAGTTTGGGGGATGAGAGGAGGGGGAGAGGGACATGAGAGAGGGAGGGAGACAGGAATAGAGGGGAGAGAGGAGAGGAGACGAGGAGAATGAGAGAGATGGAGGAGAGGAGAAACGAATGAGAGGGGAGAGAGGGAGAGAGGGGAGAGAAGAGATGAGAGGCAGAGAGGAGAGCAAGAATTCGAGAGAGGGACGAGACGAGAAATGAAGGACGAGAGGGAAAAGAGAAAAGATGAGGAAAGGGAGAGAGGAGAAGTGGAGAGGAGAGAGGGAGAGGGATCAGAGAGAATAGAGAGAGGGGAGGAGAGAAGAAGGAAGAGGGAGAGACGAGAGAGGAAGAGAGATAAAGAGAGGGAGAGAGGAGGGAGGATGACATGAGAGAGGGAGAGAGAGAATGAGGGAGGGAGACGCGATGATGAGGGAAGAGAGAGAATGAGGATGGTGAATGATGGGGATGGGTGAATTGGGGAGAGAAGAGAGAGAGAGAGAGAGAGAGAGAGAGAGAGAGAGAGGAGAAGAGAGAGAGAGAGAGGAGAGAGAGAGAGAGAGAGAGAGAGAGGAGAGAGAGAGAGAGAGAGAGAGATGAAGAGAGAGAGAGAGATGAGAGAGACGAGAGGAGAGAGAGAGAGAGAGAGAGAGAGAGAGAGAAGAGAGAGCGAGAGAGAGAGAGAGAGAGAGAGGAGAGAGAGAGAGAGAGAGAGAGGAGAGAGAGAGAGAGAGAGAGAGAGAGAGAGAGAGAGAGAGAGAGAGAATGAGGGAATAAGAGATGGATGAATAATTGGGGGGATGGGTAAATGGGAGAAGGGAGAAAGAGAGATAGAGAGAATGAAGGATGAGTGAAGAACTGGGTCGAGAGAGAGAGGAAGGGGGAGAAAGAGAGATACAGACAGAGAGAAGAGAGAAAGAGAGCGAGAGGAGAGAGAGAGAGAGAGAGAGAGAGAGAGAGAGAGAGAGAGAGAGAGAGAGAGAGAGAGAGAGAGAGAGAGAGAGAGAGTGAGAGAGAAGCATGAATAAATAAATGAAAAAAAATACCTAGAAAATAGCATAAGGTTTAAGAACGAGATGAACAGAATAGTCGAGAACTAGGAGGAAATAAGATGAATATGAGAAATCAAGAGAATTGCCCCGAAAGATAAATAGATAAAGTGTTTGTGAAGTGACGAGCAAGGGGAGAAGAGAAATTCATGGAAAGGGCAGAATTAAGTTACCATACAGGAGGGTGAGACATGCAGTCAAACATAAATCATAGAAGATAAGATAAATCATACATCATAAATCATAAATCATCATGAATAGAAACATAAAAACGAGGATCCTATTATCTTTACTTGTAGGTTTCGATCCTAAAAGCAAGTATCTATAACCTTGCCTCATGGGTGTACAAAACAAATGAGCATCAAGAGCAGTAAGGGAATCAAAGCGCATTAATAGTGTTCATTTGTTTTATACACCCGCGAGAATACGTACAGAAACACTTATTCTCAAGTCACACACCACACACACACACACACACCACACACACACACACACACACACAACATCTATTATGCACATATTTCGCTTTTGTGCATGGCAGATAGACAGAGAAAGGATTATTTTTCTTTGTCGGCGATAAGAGCGGGAAGTCGCTCGTCCGTTCCCCTGCCCTCGATTCTATTATCCTCTATCCTATTTTACCCTTATTCTGTAATCATCCGTCTTTGATTCTGTTATTGTGCGATTTGCAAGGCTCTTTCTCGCTTTCTCTCCCCTTGAATCTGTTGTTATCTGTTATCGAAGGTTTGTCACTATCATTACTCAGGTATTATCACAATGCCTCGCGGATTTTTGATTCTTTGTTATTTCCGGAAAAATATGTTTTTTCTTTCCTTTGCAATTGTTGTTGTTATTATCATCGTTGTTGTTGGTCTTGTTATAATTTCCATCATTGCTATTAATATCATTATCATTAGCATCACTATTATTATTATTATCTTTAATTATATATCATATTTCATCCTCATCCTCATTATTATCATTATCATCATCATAATTATCGTCATTACTATCATTGATATCATTATCAACGTCATTATCACCATTACTATTATCATCTTCATCACCATAATCATTATCCGTATCATTATCATCTTCTTTACCATAATCATTACTATTATCATTATCTTCGTCTCCATCTTTATTATTGCTAACATTATTCTTACTATTATCACTGCTATTATCTATACAATTATTTTAACTATTATCATAATCTTTATTGTCATCATTATCATTCTTGTTATGAATAACACTGTCGTCCTCCTCTTCATCATTGTCATCATCATAACCATTATTACTAACATTACATCTATCATTATCACTATCATTAACTATCAAAATATCATTATCATAATTTATGTTATGATGATATTTTATCTACTTATTTATTTTTTACACACACGATCTCTCAAGCAGTGGATGCCACACCGCCTATTAACTTTATTTAATAAGCCACGCCCATCTCAGTCAATTCTTTTATTCCGATCCTCTTGTTCTCACTCCATCTCTTTTTTATCCTCTATCCTTCAAGGCAAATTGGTTTCAGATCTCATAACAGTCCCAAAAGACGAAACTCTTTTCCCGCCTAAAATTCTGCTGGTATTGAGCCTTTTCGTGGATTGAAAATGGATGTATTTCTTTTTTTCTTTCTTTCTTTCCAGGATCCATGTCTGTATTTCATTTTTCGTTGCGTTTCTATTCTGTATTGTTTGTATTCACTATTGTGTGTATCTCATTCGCTCACTTTCTTCTGCATTGTTTGCATTTCCTACTGTTTGAATCTCCATTGTCTCTTTTCTTACGTTTTCCTTTGTGTCCTTTGTGCATTCTCTCTTGTTTTTATCATTCAAATTTCCTATTTCTTGGCTCTCCTTTATCTTCCTCCTTTGTGCCTCTCGCATTTGCTATATTGTTCGCATCTCCCCTTTATTCCTCCTTCTCTCATTCCTCCTCCTTCTCCACTGTCGAACTTGAGTCTTCATTGGCGAACTTAACACAAAGCAAACTCTGTGCAGGCGCAAAGTCCTCTTCTACATCAGCTGGTTCAGACTACTTCCGGTGCACTTAACAGACCCTGAGTACTTTAGTTGTTGTTTATGGCTTGGAATACTTGTTTAGCTTCTGATAATGATTCCTTTGATAGTTAACAAGGTCAATTTATATGATAACTTCTTGAGTAATAATTTATTGATTCAATTTATTTATTTTACTAACATTTCCCGTAACAATACCTTTTAGCAATTTGATAATCCTATTCCTACATTTACGTTACATTTAGTCTCAGCAATGATTTGAATAAAGATGATAATAAGTATATATCTTTTTCCTTTTGCATTTCTCTTGTTTTCCATGATCTGCTTATGATTAGAATTAAGAATTATTCTAAATGTGAATTTCAATATCTATACAATTTTCTGTGCTTAATTTCTTACCATTTGTATCATTATCACTGAATGAATTCAAACTAAACAGGCTTAGAGGTAACGTTTAAATGCACAGTAAAATATGTCATGGTATTATGCTTTTAAGTGAACATTCATTTAATACTGAAAAGAAGATTATTGACACATTGAGATTTCTGAAATATTAATTCGTATATTTCAGAAATCTCAATGTGTCAATAATCTTCTTTTCAGTATTAAATGAATGTTCACAGTAAAATATGTCATGGTATTAAGCATTTAAGTGAACATTCATTTAATACTGAAAAGAAGATTATTGACACATTGAGATTTCTGAAATATTAATTCGTTTTCAAATGCACTTAGATGTCCGAAATTACATAGAAAAACACATCAAACCGGAACAAGCAAAACACAAAAACAACAACAAAACAAAAAAAATAAACTCGAATGCGTAGTTCGTTTTCAGTAAATTTTTTTTGTAAAGCGAAATATGTACTCAGAAGCATAAATATTTATAAATAAGTACTATTAAGAAATCGTTCTCATATTATTCCATATAAAACAAAAAAATAAACAATCAACAAACAATATTAGGTACGTATCCCCTTCTTCAGAAACCCACACACGACGACTGCAACAACAACAAAGTCTCAAGTCAGCGTTCGTGTAAGAGCCGGATCATGAATCCTGGATTAATCTGTTTCGTAATGAGAAAATGATCGGCACTGCGTAGGCCAGGGAGGGAGGGAAGGAGGGAGTGGATAGGAGGGAGAGAGCGGAAGAAAACGAGAGGAAATGGTAAAGGAGGAAGAGTGGGGAAGGGAGAGAGAAGAAGGAAGGGGGAGGCTGGAAGGCGGAGAAAGGGTGAGGGAGAAGAAGGGGGAAGAGCAGAAGAGGAGAGAGTAAAGGAGGAAGAGTGGGGAAGGGGGAAGGGGAGGGGAGACTGGAAGGTGGAAGGGGAGGGGAGACTGGAAGGTGGAAGGAGGGTGAGGGGGAAGAGAAAAAGAGAATAAAAAAAGAGGGGAAGAATAAGGAGAGGGGAAGGGAGAAGAAAGGGTGAGAAAGAACAGAAATGGAAGTTTGGGAGAGAGTGAGGGAAGGGAGAAGGAAAGAGAAGGGGAATGCGAATACAGGAGTCGAGGGGAAGGAAAAGGGGAGGGGAAGGGGGGTTAAGGAAGGAGGGAGAAGGGAGGTGATAAGGGAAAAGGAAGGGAAAGGAGAGGGTGAATGAGGAAGCTGGATGGAGCTTAGAGTGAGTGGGAGGGAGAGCAGAGGAGAGGGCTTTTATGGGACGGAAGATGGAGGGAGGGAAAGAAGATGGAGGAAGGGAAAGAGAGTAAAGTGGAGAGAAAGATGGAAGGAGGGAAAGAGAGGAAGGTGGAAAGTGTGAAATAAAAGATGGTGGAGAGAAGGAAAGAAAGGAAGAGAGAGAAAGATAGAAGGAAAAAAGATCGAAAAAGAAAACACGAGCGAATAAAACAGAGAGAAATGAGAACAAGAAAACAGAGAGAGAAAAAAATATAGGAACTAAGAAAAGGGGAAGAGAAAGGGTTGGAAAGCAAGAACAACAAATAAAGTGAGTGAGACCGAGACACGAAAGATGAAAAAGAAGAGAGCAGATAAGGGAGAGGGCGACGAAAAAGGGAGGCGGAAGGGAGGGATGAGGAGGCAAAATTGCAAGAGGAGAGCAAGATCTATATCGCAAGATGGAGGAAATTGCATTAAAGATGTCATTCTCCTTCTCGTCAAACTTTGAAGATATATTGTGGGTCTGCGGGTCCTCCTCGGCGGCCTTGCGGATGGTCTTCGCTATTCATTTAGTATTTTCTTATTCATTCTCTTATTTATTTTGTCTCTTTATTTATCCATGTATCTATTCGTTTACTTATTTATCTATTTTTTTTCACTTATTTGTCTATTTATTTACTCATCTGTTTGTTTATCTCTATCCATTTCTCTATTAGTTTACTATACTTATACCTACATATTTATCTTACTTGGTTATCTATTTATTTATCTGTTTATTTATCTATTTATCTGTTTATTTGTCTATTCGTCTGTTTATTTTTGTTTATCTGTTTTTCATTTATCTATTCTTTTTATTATTATAATCTATTATTTATTTACTTGTTTATCTATTCATTTATTTATTCATTTGTTTATCGATTCCCTTGATTATTTACTTATGTATCTGTATTTGTTTATCTATGTATTTGTTTACATATCTATCTATCTATCTATTTGTTCATCTATTTATTCGTCCATCAATTTGTTTATCTATCTATTCATCCATCAATTTGTTTATCTATTTATTTATCTATTCATCATGAAAACATTGATGTGGAATCCGATGAACATTAACAATTAAAAAAGATATATAATATGGGTTTTAGGTTGATGGCCGGAGAGGTTTTTAATCTGGCATTGATTTTCGTCATTGCATGTGTCTCTTTTTCTGTCGATCTCTTTCTCTCTCTGTCTCTGTCCCCCTGCTTCTGTCTGTGCATTTGTCTGTTTATCTGTCTGCCTCTCTGCTCCCCGTTCCTTCTGTCTGTCTCCTACTAACTTTTTTTCCCTCTCCTACTTCTCTCCAAAAGAGAAAGTGAGGAAGAATGAGAGAGAGAAAGTGAGATAGATAGATAGAGAGAGAGAGAGAGAGGACGAGAGGAGAGAGAGAGAGAGAGAGAGAGAGAGAGAGAGAGAGAGAGAGAGAGAGAGAGAGAGAGAGAGAAGAGAGAGGGAAGAGAGAGAAGAAAGACAGAAAGAAAGGCAGAGAAAGAAAGAGAGACAGACAGACAGACAAACAGACAGACAAACAAAGGAGAAAAAAAATATACCAACCAACCACCATTCACACCAAACACGATCCACAAACCAACAGCAACCAAACCATCCCAAACAACCCACAAACAAACAACAAACGCCACCTCACCTCTGGTCCCCACTCATGGGTCTTCACAACCACAACTGACCCATTCGACACGGACTCCGCAGGGAACCCGTTCTTCATGAGGGCATAGTCCTTGTACACGCTTCCTGAGTAGTATCCTGTGACCTGTAGGAGGAGGAGAAGGGTGTAAGAAAAAAGGTGAAGAATAACAGGAAATAAAAGGAGATAAGTTGACTGACCTCTTTTTATCCCTTTTTTTTTTTTTTTTTTTTTTTTTTTACTTGAATCATTATTATTATCTTCATTTTTTTGTATTTGTAATTATCTTTAAGTTATCGGCATTAGCATTGATTCAATTATTGTTACACTGATACAACTATAATTTCAGATAAGTGTTATCATATTCCATGTCGTCATCGATATCATCATATATTTCATTAAGAGATAGCGAGATGAATAGATAGATAGAAATATAGATAGATAGATAGAGAGAGAGAGAGAGAGAGAGAGAGAGAGAGAGAGAGGAAGAGAGAGAGAGAGAGAGAAGAGAGAGAGAGAGAGAGAGAGAGAGAGAGAGAGAGAGAGAGAGAGAGAGAGAGAGAAATGAGGAAGAGAGAGAGAGAAAGGTAGAGAAAATAATATGAAAAATAAAAATAAAAATAAAAAAGAAATAAGAAACAGACAAAGGAAGTAAAGAAAAGAAAAAAATAAAACAAAGCAAAAAAAAAAAAAAGAAAAGAAAAGATTCAGAAAAAAAGAAAAGGAAAAAAGCACAAAGAGAAAGATAAAGAAAGTGCGAAAAAAAATAGATAAATGAAAAATAAAATGAAAATAAGAAGGGAAACCCCCTCCCTTCCCCCCCCCTCCGATCCTCACCTGCTGCAGGAGGTAGCGAATCCACGTGTTGCCAGAGCCCGGGAAGGACACGAGGGCCGTGGTGGGCCGGGGGGGTCGCGCGCCACCGGAGATGCTGACACCAGGGGAGCCTCGACCCCGCCCCCCCGCCGCGTCGTCCAGCTCCACGCCCCGCTTGC